AAGTAACAACGTTACAGCTGCATTACCCTACAGGAGAATGAGTCATTGCAATATATACTTATTTATTTTTTAGTTTGGGAGGGGCTGTAGGATGGATAAAAATCACCCATAACAAATCTTAATAGTAAATGTCAGCCCAGCACATATTGCTTAAGCCACTGTAGGCACAGGACCCCCCACCACCCCCTTCCAAAGTCTGATCTACTCTTCCATGCTGCCCTTACGCCTTCGCGGGGGGGAGGGGGGGTGGACAACAACCACATTTCACTCCATCCCAGCTTCACGGGAAGTAAACGGGCTCGGGCCAGAACACGTGGCCGGAGTGGACGATGACAGCGGAGGGACGGAACGCATCCCGCGGATGAGAGGGCACGATCAAGTTGGTCTCTCCGTAGCGATGGTCCACGGTGGCAAGTTGGCAGAGGCACGGCACAACCGTTGGCCGGGACGATGACCGATGGTCAAGGAGGATGGAGGGATAGCTACAGTTTGGGGAGGCCTTCATCCAGCAGTGCATAGGTCATGGCTGATGATCACGATGAACATATTTCTGACATGTTCAACGGTTTATATTGCTGTAAATTGCCCCCCCCCCCCCACCCCCCGAATGAAATGGCTCTTTAAGCGCTAAACATAAGCATGTGGCAATCCCCGTGGGGGTTGCTGTGGAGAGCACAACGCGTGCAAGCTACAATCGCAGGCTCTCTTTTGTGCTCAGCGACACGTGTTTTTTGTTGAATCTACCACCCACACGCACCCTATCGAGAGTGAAGTCCCATTAAACGTGTAGCCAGTTCAAGATTAAGATGTCACCATGACCACCACCACCACCATGACCACCACCACCACCACCATGGCCACCACCACCACCAACCAACCACCTCGCCAACACTTTCTACCCTCTGCAAGATTACACAGCTGCTGCACGGTAGACCCCCAAGAATCTCCAGTGACCGTCTCGCCGCCATCTGGTTCGAGGTCTTCTTTCCCTTGGTCGCCAGACTTGCGGAGACCGATTTCAACGCCCCCTCTCCGAAACCGCCGTTCAGCGTCAATTTGAACAGCAGCTAAAATGTAATCTTTACAAAACGAGGAAACTTACAGGGTTGGTGGGATCAATGGAGGAGAGCAACAATTAATGTTGCTGCTGCATCATGGTGGACACTGGGAGTTTACACCGAAGCAAATACAGGCCAGCCGCCTTGACAAGCCTTTGCTGCGAGAATACAGCACGCAATGTGTGCCTGATAAAGTTGTCCTCCACCTCGCACCTCCGATTAGCACGGTTGGCTACGCACGGTGCAATGAGCAACCGCGTTCAAGAGCCAAACATCGCACATCTCAGCTCGATGTGCCTTCAAGACACCGGTGTAAACCGTCAACCGTACATCTCCTTCACGCATTGAAAGTTAAAGACGAGCCACGGTCGTGCGACGGTGGTTATGCAACCCAAGCTGTGGGCCACTTAGTAAACCACTGCAGTCTGCATGCCGCCAGAGGAGGAGGAGGAGGAGGACAAATCCACGGACTCTCCCCTGAGGCCCTCTCTCGTCGTGGCGAGCGGCAGGCCTCGATATTTCGCTTCCGGACGTATTGCCATTTGCAAGAATATAATTGTTGTGTGAGTAGTGATTCGCATTGCTGCACTGCGCACCCCGAAGTGCCCTGAGTTCAATTCCTGGCCACGGCTATCAAAACCCGTCCTGCGGCATTCCCTTCACCAACCCACACTGACCAGCGTGGTGAAGTATGCAAACAACTCCCAGTGGCTGTCATGGTGCAGGAAATTATTATTTTTATTTTTAGTATGATTGCCAAATGCGTCCGTTTGCTTTTGTTATTGAAATCATTACATGAAAATAATTAAAATAATGTTTTAAAATTTACTGATATGTCACTTACATAGTAATAAAACATGGACCTTCTGCAATGAGCGTCTGGTAACACTGAAGAACGAATTTAATCATTAAAATAAATAAATCAACCTCCGTTCTGTACCTCCACATAAAAAAATAAAATATGCGTCTTCGTCTAATGTGCTTTAGCCTATCAGTCTCTTGGCCTCCTCGACTTGTGTTAACCAGCAGCATTTGTTTAAATAAACCCTGGGCTGGTTTTGACACCGTGGGTCTCATCACCAGAGCAAGGCACGCTCAGCAAATACTCCTGATTTCCTAAACGTTATCGGTGAGAGCGCTCCCCCTTAAACAATTGGACTCTGTAAGCTAAAAAAAGCAGTTGAATAAATGTTTTTTAATGTATATAATGTAATCACTCTCATTAACACGAGCGCCACATTCTTCATACTTAAGCCACACAGTTACCATACTGCAGCCTCGTTACTCTCTACGCTGGTGACATAAGTTGAGTTGGGGTTTGTGCGTGTGCGCGTGTGTGCGCACGTGAGCGCGTGTCAAGGGCCTTGCCACACTTGCCAAGGGGATACTGATCGGTGAAAGGTATCAAGTGAGTAAGACAAAGAATCGCAAGGTAAAACCATTTATCCTTCTTCACGTATAAACCATCAGCCCGGATCCCGGAGAACTAATCCACGTCTCTGGAAAGATTCCCCCCACCCCGCTCTTTGCAGCGAGAGCCAAATTCTCCGCCGAATGCTCAAGGACGCTCCCCAAAGCTGTAACAAAGTGCGCGCCGAGCCCATTTACCAACATCTGCGGGGGACAGACACACACTCTGTGAGAAACGTCTAAATGTGCTCAAAAAACTTTTCCTCCTGCCCCGACCGCGGCAAACGTAATCCCATTATGCGGCAGCCAGCGCTCAAAACGAGCGCAGCCCGAGAGCATTTCGAGGCTTCCGCGCGATGGAGGTCACCCGCGTGACCGTCGCCTCCCGCAAAGCCCGATGCGCTCCGTGCAAGATGCTGTACCCGTGCGCGCCCCACTGCCAGATCGAATGCCGCCTCTCTGCTCTGCAACACCGCTCGTTGTACGGCCTCTGTGCGGAATGTCGAGGACTTAATTTAAGCAACAACAACAACAAAAGGTGGGACGGGGTGCGGTGTTACTCCGGAGCAGAACTACGATAGTTCTATGGTCTACTGGTTTTTGCCGTCTAGTGTTATACCTATCACGCTATGGACGTCATATCCATGAGATGACGAATTCATGGGACACTCTCGCAGAGCGGCGCAAGGGAACGGTCCGCAGAAGGAGATATCCGCAATTCTACTTCTGAGATCCATTAAAGTGACCTCGGACAGCATCTTCCCACCAGCCCTGCCCTGCTACAGATGCGTGCAGATTTACGACATGCATCTGCAGCAGGGCAGCAGTCACGTTTGTCTCATGAGAGTCAAACTGATACGTTTAATGCTCAGGGCTAGTATTGATCCAAATTAAGGGCAAATTCTCATTGATGTGCAATCGTTGTGGTGACCATCCGCTTACTTCGTTCGAGAACTATGGTACTTCTAATTCAGTGTTCCTCACTAATTTTCAGAGGGGGGCCACTTTCATCGAGAAGACGTCATCTGTGCCAGGGCCGCCACACATTTGAAACCACTGTTGGGTTTGACAGCAGCACGATGATGGTGATGATGGTGGTGATGATGGTGATGATGATGGTGATGATGATGGTGATGATGGTGATGGTGGGGGGCGTCTTCACTCGTTGTGTCATTGTCAGGAGCCACACTCCAGGCTACCGGGGGCCGCTAGTGGCCCACGTGGCCTTGCAATGAAGAGCTCTGCACCAATCATACCGAGACATCGAAATTATCATTATTTTAGGGGCGGAAGGATTTCGACAAGAAATAACAACATTGCGTGAGATCGAAGCACTGCTCTGCACTATGCAGTAGATGTTGGAGTCACCGCTGTGTTGCTGTGTCACGGTGGCGAAATGTTAGCTACCTCTCCTGGTATACAGGAGGTTGTAGGTTGATCACGATCCCGACCCTGATGCCTGCTGTATATTTGGAGTTTGTGTGTCTCTCTCCCCGTGGTCGCGTGGTTTTTTCTCCGGGTTCTCCGGTGTTTCCCTCCACTTTAGAATCAACAACACGCATTTAGACTGTTTGGCTGCCATACATTTCCATGTGATAAGCTACTTCGTTGTGGTCAGGTCACTTCTGAAAAAGAGCAATCTCAGCAGTCCGCCTGCTGTATTGTTTCACCTGAAAACGATGGCTTGTGTTGCAATCGAAACGTCGTGATCTATTAGTTATTTTTCTATCTACGTGACTTTACCGAAAGAACCAAAGTGTATTAATTCCTGCAGTCACGAAAGCTTCAAATCAAGATTCAATCTAGTTCAGTTTAGTTTTAGTTCCCGTATCATGGCCCAAATGTTTCAGACTTACAGCTATTTATAAATAGGAAGAATGGTTGAACAGTAGTTCATGCACTCGACTATGAATTCGGCGACCTGAGTCTGATTCTCAGGCACGACTAAAATCAATGAAGATCTAAAACGTGTGACCGCATTATTGCAGCTCTTTTGAACCGGTGGTCTAGATAAGGCTGAGAGAGATGTGCCCCCTGCTGTTGGTGAGCAGCACAGCTTTGCGTGTTGTTAAATCTCTCGAGTTGGTGGTCTAGACAAGGCTAAGAGCATCGTATATGCAATGCGATGGGCACATGGGAGTCGTGCCTTCCTGCTGAATCGACAATGCCGACAATGATGATGGGTTTTCTCATCATTTACAAAATCAAGTGTCGCATTTGAATATGAGAGAGACCTAATCATGAGCACAATCGCCGAGATGTAAAGCGAATAGATTTTAACAAGCAAACGCAACGGTGTGGCCCGGACAAACCCAAATTGTGTCCTCAGCATGTCAGGGGCGCGGCCTCGCACTCCGAGACGGGGCCGTCGACCCCACGTGTGCAATGTGCTGCATGCCACTGTGATGCATCGCACACACCAGACTGGCGATATTTTATCAAAGTTTCATCGTCTTTTTTTTGTCGTTGTTGCTGTTGTTCCCTTTCTTTCCTGCCACGGGAAGATGTGTTTGTGTTTGTTTGTGTCTGCAGTGTCCGCCGCGCGTGTCTGGGTGCTGGAGCGATGGCAGGGCGGCACGCGGCTCGCGGCCCACGGCTCCGAAGCCACTGCCACCCAAGTTCGACTTCCAACCGCGGTCAGTGACGAGTGACATCGCTGGACCGGTCCTGGGCCCTTTCGAGATTGACTCGGCCTCACACGAAGGTCTGGTCGCAAATGTATGCGCATCACCATTGAGAAGACTAAGACGGCCGGGCGTGGTGGTGTAAGCCACACCACCCCATCGTGCACCGGGCCATCCTTAACAGGCGCTCGCTAACAGCGCCTGCCCCACAGTCTGTACGGCGGGTGAGTGAATGACCCCGCATATTGCCACCATTGCTGCCGTCGCTGCTAATGTTGTTGCACACCAAGCTGTGAGCACGACGCATTTCACCGCCGGCTCGTGAATTGCACCGCTGTTAAATTTGCAACGTGCATTATAATTTAGACATCAGCAGAGTTAAGATTTTTGGGTTTCTAAAACTCTTCCTATATTTCCCCGGCTTTATAGCTAAAGGCCATTAGACTGCGCCTAGCGTGACACAATGTATGGAAAAGAGAAATGGCCCATCCCGATGTTCGTACAATGCTGCGGTAATAAAGCTGCATTATTTTCAACCAACAAGGCCTGTTTTAATAAATCGCCTGGTGCCCTGCAGCATGCGGGGAGAGAGGCAATGATTGAAGAGCTGCTGCACCCCTCACATCTGTTTGCTTGGACGTAAAGACAATCGTTAGCGTTAGGATCACTGCAGCGCCCCCGCAAACACGTGTAAATCACGTCCGTGCCACGCTGCGGGGAGAATTTCAGCAGGCACTTTTGCCGGACGCCAAATGGTCTAACGCCATCTGGAGCCCGCCGCTTCTTGCCAGCTCCTAAGGCCAAGAAAGAAAAAAAAAGATGTACCGCCGTGGCTACGGCAGATTCCGCCCGGTCACGGAGAACTCCCGAGACTTTCGGGATGGAGAGCATGCACGGGGATACGTGATCCATTGCCTTCTGTCCGTTTTATCTTGACCCCTCGGTCAAGAGCCTTCGCTTGATTAGCATCTCCTCAATTCACTCGCCCCGTTTGTCGCGGCAAAAGACAAGCCACTGGCTGTCCCGCGCGTGGCGTGAGCGCTGCCAACCGTGTTTAAGCATCTGCGACGAACAAAAAAAAACGCTCCGTCAGATGTTGGGGGTTTGAAACACGCTGCATGCACACAACAAGCTACTACAAAGTGCACGACGGTGATTCTGTGCCGATTGCAAAGTTACCCCCCTGCCCGCCCCCCAATACTCTGCCCCCCCCCCCCGAATGTGTCTTGTGCATAGATAATGGGCAAAAGGCGCAGCCCTGCAAATGTTTTGCTCACACCACTGCTGGCGGAAGGGCCCCCACTGCAGAGTTTTTCTCAACGGTATGTTGGCCTACTCTTCCCAGCTGGCCAGATGTCTTAAAAGAGTTTTGCGTACCCACACTTTACCCCCCACAAATGGGTAAACCACCAACTGTGGTAGCTCTGTGGTGTCCACTTCCACGGGCCACTCTCCGACACGAAGGGTCGCAATGCTCTTTGAAAGGCCCGATTGGATACTCCCTTTCATGACGTGTCCTTCCGATGAGCACGGTTGGCTATGTGTGGTGCGAAAGAAGTTCAACTTACATTCAAACACTGATAGCACCATTGTAATATTTGGGGAGAAGACAAAAAATTAAAATGTAAAATAATTAAGGAATTCTTCTGCGGCAGCATTTGCATGGATTTTTCTCTGGGTCCTCCGGTTACTAGCTCCACATCGAGAGTGGTTGGCTGCTATACATTTCCACGTGATAAGCCACTTCGTTGAGCTATCATTTGTGGCCAGCTCGCTTCTGAAAAGGACCTAATAATTAAGTGGGCCTTACCTGGTAAAACATTTATATATATTAAAACCTGGATGGAGAAAGTAATTATTTAGTCTTGGTTTGTATGTTGAACTTTTTTAGCACCGTACGTATCCAACCGTGCTAATCGGAGGTGCGATTTCAGCCGGGTCTGAGCCCTGGGCTGGCTCAGACCCACCGCGTCCCTCAGAGGGTGGCGATCTGAACGCGTGACTCGAGAGCACCCAGGCGTCACGTGTGCAACGCACACATTCCTTTCCCTTGGCACACACGAACTGCACACGGGCAGCACACGTGGGCAGCACACGCGGGCAGCACACGCGGGCAGCACACACAGGCAGCACACGCGGGCAGCACACACAGGCAGCACACACAGGCAGCACACGTGGGCAGCACACGCGGGCAGCACACGTGGGCAGCACACACAGGCAGCACACACAGGCAGCACACACAGGCAGCACACACAGGCAGCACACGCGGGCAGCACACGTGGGCAGCACACGTGGGCAGCACACGTGGGCAGCACACACGAGCGGCACACACAGGCAGCACACGCGGGCAGCACACACAGGCAGCACACGTGGGCAGCACACACAGGCAGCACACACAGGCAGCACACACAGGCAGCACACACAGGCAGCACACACAGGCAGCACACACGAGCGGCACACACAGGCAGCACACGCGGGCAGCACACACAGGCAGCACACGTGGGCAGCACACACAGGCAGCACACACAGGCAGCACACATAGGCAGCACACACAGGCAGCACACACAGGCAGCACACACGAGCGGCACACACAGGCAGCACACGCGGGCAGCACACACAGGCAGCACACGTGGGCAGCACACACAGGCAGCACACACAGGCAGCACACACAGGCAGCACACACAGGCAGCACACGTGGGCAGCACACACAGGCAGCACACACAGGCAGCACACGGGCAGCACACACAGGCAGCACACACAGGCAGCACACACAGGCAGCACACACAGGCAGCACACGTGGGCAGCACACACGGGCAGCACACGCGGTTGATGGGCAACGGGGACATCTTCACAGTGTTGTATTGGAATGGCATTGAGAAAACAGATACTAATGTACTCATATGCATTAAAAGAGCGTTTAGAACAAGGGCATTTACTACCTGCTGTTACATGGATTGAAGAACATTGATATTCGTAAGGTAAATTTAATTTAAGCTGAAAAGTGGGTCAGGAGTGATTCAGAGATCATTCGCCACCGATGCTCGCCATAGCTGGACATTGAACTCAAGAGGGCCGGGTTCATAGCACGGTACGCAAAGCACTGCACACCACCACTTCACCCCGCAGCGTTGTACATACATGCACATTCTTACTTAAGGGCATCACATTCGGTGTTTTTTTAATACACACATATACAAGTGGCCTTAAAAGAAACCGAATTTAAAAATAAGCCACGCAGTTGCTCTCAGCCACGCAGAACAAGTCCACTGAGTGAGAGCCAACAGGTTCTTTTGGCTTTTCTTTTTGGTCTATCTCCGAGAAGGATTTGGCAGTAAATGCATACATGTGCCAAATTCCCAAGTAACCAACTTTTAAGAAGCATCCGCGCACAGACACACACACGCGCACGCGCTCGCGCCTCTTGGCCGGCCCACGGTTTGAGCGTGACGCAGAGTGACAGGGACGTCTGGGGAAATCTGTGCTGTCAGCCCCGTGGTGTGCTGGACGGACGTTCAGTCGTAACACAACATGACGGGACAGGGAGCAGACAGAGCTTAGCGTAAATATGTTCCTGATTTTACGTCGCTTCTGGGTATGGGATATGCTCTCTCAACTGATATCTGTTCGTTGGAATTTTTTTCAAGTTCTGTTAGTCTTCTGTAAATGTGTCAATTGGCCTGATATTTTGAAAGTTTTACTTTTGAAGGCGAAGTGAAACTCCCCCGAAGCGGCAACACGGAAAGAGGAGAGCACTTGTCCAAGCACAAGCGCGTGTCACCCAACGGGGTGGTGGGGGGGGGCAGGATTCTATTTCTCAAGTTAAAACAAATACCGTTATGTTATTAAATTTCGCTGTCTTTATATTAAGCAATTGTATGTCACACGCTTGCCGGTGTAAGGGGGGGAAAAAAATCTTGGGAAATTACTCCGTTAAGAACCGCGTTGAACTCTGCCAGTGGTGGGGAAAAAATGATGAAAAACAGAGACGTAAAATTAAAAAATGTCCTTCTCGCCACATTTTTCATCCCTGTGCCACTGGGGCATCTGCAAATGGTGCTATGTGTTTTTAAAACTGCAGTCAGACCGATGTATATCATGTCAGTCTAACGACTGGCAGACAGTGTGGATTTATGCTTGAGCTGCCAAAACTCAAACTAATGATGTTATAACAAGCTGCTCAGTCTTTCTAAAGTCAAGCAGAGCAGAAATCGCATGCCTCAAAATATATGTCAGCTGCATTTCAAATGGGACTGAGGCCATCACTTTAAAATGCTTTGGATGATCAATGTACTGCTGGCCAGCGCACCCTTATACTTGTTTACAACAATATACATTCCCGGCGTGGTTGATGTGAAGCCATTAACTTCCTCCCGCTCCACTTGCCGTCATGTAGTTCACCTTTAGAGGCTACCTGGCAAACACACATCGTATTGTTATATTCCACAGCAGCGGCCAGCAATAGATATATTGTTAATTGTCAAGGACCGATGATGGAATGCACAATGGGATACGGCCGGAGTAATAATGTGGAAATGATGTGGCAAACAAAGAACAACATAAAGAGGGAAAAATAAAAATGTATACTTGAGAATTAAAAATAAAAATGTATACTTGAGAATTAAAAATAAAAATGTATACTTGAGAATTAAAAAATAAAAATGTATACTTGAGAATTAAAAATAAAAATGTATACTTGAGAATTAAAAATAAAAATGTATACTTGAGAATTAAAAATAAAAATGTATACTTGAGAATTAAAAAATAAAAATGTATACTTGAGAATTAAAAATAAAAATGTATACTTGAGAATTAAAAAATAAAAATGTATACTTGAGAATTAAAGAATATAAATGTATACTTGAGAATTAAAAAATAAAAATGTATTCTTGAGAATTAAAAAATAAAAATGTATACTTGAGAATTAAAAAATAAAAATATATACTTGAGAATTAAAAATAAAAATGTATTCTTGAGAATTAAAAAATTTAAAATGTATACTTGAGAATTAAAAAATAAAAATGTATACTTGAGAATTAAAAAATAAAAATGTATACTTGAGAATAAAAAAATAAAAATGTATACTTGAGAATTAAAAATTAAAATCTCATTGACGAGTCGCATTGTTTTGATTCTTTGGTATTTTTTTTATATTTTTTGTTGCCGATTGGTCAACCCTTAACGTTTGTATAAATAAACTGCTTCTCCACGGTTGTAAGAAATTGTGTAGATTATTATAATTAAAAGTACAATAAATCATTGAACTAGAAACTTCAAAATGAGGTCAAGATTAAGTCAGCAAATGAAGTTAATGTAGTGTGCATTGATGCACGGAAGAAAGACAACACTGGATCCTGTAATGCACTGCTTTGAATTTTAAATTAGGGTTTAAAATGCACTCGCTCCGAAAGTTGCATTGATTTATGTTGAAATTCTCGTAGGCAATTCCAAACATTTTTTTCTCCGCCTCCCATTCTAGCTATCTGTGGTGATGCGTTGATCTAAAAGGAATTAAAAAAAGAAGAGAGAGAGAATTCTCAAATTTACAATGAAACGCATTTTAATTGTTATCACACAAATTGAAAATTAATTGCCAAAAAGTCCATGCTCCATTCGGCCAAATGATAAAACTCAAAGTCATTTTTCATTCACAGTTGATATCAACGTTTGACGGATGTACTCTGACGATCTCTCACTGAAAGTGAACCACAAAAATTGGAATAATTAGAAGTTAATTGAATTACCTCAGGCCAATTTATGTGAGCCATTCCAATCAGAATTACATTAATTAACATTTAGCAATTGAGAGCACTGTAGAGAATTACACAGATAGCCATGAGGCTGTCATATTGTTTGTGACACGTTGCATTAATTATTTAGACAGAGAAAGCGTTATTGTGTAAATTCGTGCACCACTGTTTATTTGGGCAATTGGGCTAATTAGAAAATTAATTACACGCACATTTTACACACATTTTTAATGGCAATCTAACATTCATTATGTTATTTTAATGGAATGGTAATAAAATCAAGTATACCGGATTTTTTCTAAGTTGTTACATTTATCTATCACATCATTGCAAACCAGTAATAAAACTTCATTTTTTATCTTTCATAATTTAAATGACAAAGTTTTAACACTCGTTCATTTGATGTAATATTAATCACTCTTGGGCTTGACGCCTTGAAATATAAGGAAAGCCGCGAGCAAATGTGCCAATTTACTACTCCGAATCAATGTAAGGACGTCCCTGGAGCACCCACCTCCTCCATTATACCTACATCTGTTGTCGACAGAGAATGTTCGGCTTGTGGTGTTGGGGGGGGGTTGGCGGTGGATTCGGCGAATAAAGATAAATAAATGAAATAAAACAAAAGGAGACGTTTTGCGGTATGCGGTCGGACAGTCGCAGCCGAGCATCGCCGCATTCGTCCGTACGCATGCGTACAGGAGAACTCCCGGCAACAGTGATCGGAGGTGATGGCTTCCCAGCCAACTGCTCGGGCCTATCGTAGGACTTGTCACGCACGTTTACGGGCCGCCCTCTAATTCCACGTCCGTTCTAAGTGAGCGGCACGGGGACGCGGGAGTGGGTAATAGGTGTGGATTTATGACAAAAGGTATCTGTGCCCCAAGTACATGGGGGCTTCTACGGCCGCAACGCTTTGCGCTGCCAGCAGGTATTTTTAACGGCTGGATGTTTCTTGTGCCACACTTTGCTGGTACTCGCAAGAACCCGACCGGAACAGAATGTTAACAGGAAAACTTGAAGGGCCTTGAATTAGGGGGAGTTGGGCGGGGGGGGAATTAAACAAAAAGTTTCCAGGGTTTAGCTAGAAAAATTATCATTTCAATTTTAAAAAGGTACTTCGCGCTGCGATAGTTAATGACCTCGATGGAACGAGAACGTCTCAAATGTAAATATTAGATGGCACTATTGCGCATTTATTTGAGATTCAACGAGTATCCTGCCTCTTTTCGCTGCGATTTCCAGCTCAGGTTTCGTTGCGCCTTGCTTGCGATGGGGAAATTGGCAATAGAAAGGAGGGGGGGGGAACCCCAGCAAAAACAAGTAAACATTAAAAAACACAAAGAAACTGACCATGGTAGCATTAAAATGAAG